TTAGATGTATACACTGTCTGGATGACCCTGCAGGCCCCTCTCTACTTTAATATTACTTCATGCAAAATATTGTCGTTTTCCATCTTTGGCAGGGTAAAAAAGTCATCATTACAGTATCATGCTGTCATCCGAGCCGCGGTCCAATGAGACATTGGTTACTAGTTCACGGGGCCAAGCCTTGTAAAATGTCATTACAGTGGCTCTATGTCACTCTACGTAGCTCTATTAGCAGCAGAGTAGTACTGTTGTAGGTTAATGGGAGTATTACAGCTCTGGCTGGGGCTGCGTCTCAAAACGGCACCCTATTCCCTATATAGTGCACTACTTTTGACCAGGGCGCGAGCCCTATGTATGGAATAGGGTGCCATTTGGGATGCAGACCTGTTCTGTTCTGTTCTGTGATTCTCTCCTCGGGAAAGAGCCCATTTCTCACTCACACACAAAAAGAATGGCTTTTGGACGTCTCAGCTGAAACTGAAAGTCAGCCGGAGTGGGACACGATGCATATGAACAGGAGAGGAGAGGAGAGGAGAGGAGAGGAGAGGAGAGGAGAGGAGAGGAGAGGAGAGGAGAGGAGAGGAGAGGAGAGGAGAGGAGAGGAGAGGAGAGGAGAGGAGAGTTGTGAAATAATGGCAGGAATGAATCTGTCAGACGTTAATAAAGAGAGATCCAGTTAGTCATGCTGGATGTCTCCAGTCAGCAGATATACTGTATCTATTGTTGATAAGGGGACAACACTTCTAACAGCAGACCACTTCCACTGTTGACTAAATGACTTGCATCATAGACAGCCCTGGTTAAAGTGATACTTCACTCCAAAATCAATGTTTATTATTACATGTTTTAGACCTCACATTCTTTTTCTTCTTTTTGGGATGAGTTCATGATGTCCCATGGCGTCTGTTGTAAATGTGGCTGTGTAATGAACTAACTAACTAGCTACTGTATCTGTGACTTAGTTATGTCTGTGTGTTGTGCTTCATTTCCATTTCCAGCACGTTCCACCTACGGATCTGAGATGATGTAACCACGCCCACGACGAGACACCAATGGAAGACGGAGAAGACGAATGGGGTGACTTTCTGGTTCGTCTGATGATGTCATCCCTGAAGACTCCTCCCAAAGTCTCTGTGGCCCCGCCCACAGCAGAATGACCCCCCTGACCTCAACCTCAGTACAGCACAGTGCCTACCAACACGTTAGCAGAGAAGTCTTATCTTTCCCAAGTCTATCTTCGATCGATGAGATGTTTTTTTTTTTTTTTACAAAATATCTAATTTAAAGTGGAACAAAGTTTGGCTTCGGCTGCAGGAATATGGACCCGGGGGGGGGATTTTCTCTCGGAAGCACAAGCCTTTTTGCCAACTCATGTTCAATAGGAAGGACGTTATCGACCACAAGACATTTCCATTTCGGAAGAGAAGATCATTAATGCATGATTGTTTTCTCTTATAATCAATTGTAACTTGTTAAAGATGGAAACACAAACAGACTCCAAATGGAGCTAGAAAATGAACTGATGTACAACGAGGGGCTAATTTTGATACCTGTAGGGCTTAGCCACTACACAACCCGTAAGGAGTTTTCTAGAAGTTTAGGACTTTTGCAGATTTTTTTTTCTTTTTTTCTTCGAACTGACCTAAACCTTTTCAAGTGTATGCATTGAATGGACTCTGACTGACAACAATGTGGAAGCGTATCGAACAACAAGATATTTTCTGTCTGACGTGTACGGCGGAAAAGAAAGTAGGATATATAGTGTACGAAGTATTACAAGCACAGTTTTAGCACCAAGGGACAGAAACAGTTGAAGAGCTATGCAATATATCTTTACGAAGTGCATGAGTGTTACATAAATTGCAAAATAGATTTTTATTTTACACTCCAGTATAGTGCTGAGTATTTGCTGGAACACGATGACAATCAGAACCTGTGATGTAGTGGTAAATAACCAATAGGTGATGGGGGGGAAACGCTGATCTCCGTCTGCGGTGAGTAAAGTAACTCTCCCTGTGCTTTCAATGCTCTTTATATTTCCCTGCAAAAAGGTGGGTTAAAAAAAACGCTCGGCACAAAGTACGAAAGGTGCGCTTCCCCGTGCGTTTCCCCCTTCACTACACCACTGATCATAATGTTACCTAACTGTTCTGCAGTTGAAGGAAGGGCTCCGTTCTCTGTCTCATCGGCTCTTCCATTATGTTATGCTTTGATACCTATTTCTGCCTCTCAACTTGATATAACGGCGTTAACTTCACTTAAGAAAAAATAAACGTTTTCAGTATTTCATATGATGGAACATTTGTCTAGACTTGATTAAATGAATTTTCTGTTGCTTCAATGTTTAATGAACCTTCTTTTGAAAGATGTTATTGCTTCTCCTGGGTATTTCCTGTCAACCTTGGGGAATAACATTTTACTTGCAACATTAACTTGAGCTAAAAATGAAACTAGCTAAAGATGACAAATGATGTGCCCAATCTGCATGGCTGCATCAAGTTAATCTGTACACGCTCTAGTAGTTTGCCCAAACTAAATATCCTTTTCAAACCAACTATATAATATTTAATCTTGGCTCGTTTTTTTTCTTTGAAGTTTGATTAAGAATGATTTTTCAATTAATGCCAGCGCCCTGTCCAAGGCCTTGTTAAAGATGCTATTAATGCGAAAATGTTAAAGCCCGCTGTAAATGTATCGTCCGTGAGTTATCCATGCGGCCAGTGTTATGCGTGCATTAACATTATGGCTAGGGAATAAGATATCACCAAGCCACACTCCACTAAATCTCCCTGGACTGAAACCTACACTGTCTATTAAAGACCAGATAGGGACATCATGTTGCACCCCCCACCCTGTAGCCAAGCCAACCTAGTAGAAATGGACAGTCGTTTGAATGTAGACACTAGACAGTAGGTGGTTTTCAACAGTGGCGCTCTTGAACATAATAGATTTATCCTTGGGAGGTGCGTAATAACTAGCCAAAGAGACGAGAATCCATGAAGGAAGATGAAGAGTCCTGCGTCCCAAATGGCACCCTAATCCCTATATAGTGCACTACAAATGGCACCCTAATCCCTATATAGTGCACTACTGTTGACCAGAGCACTATGGGGATGCAGCCGAGGAATAGGGAGGTGAGAGGGAATCATTCCAACCATTCAACTGTTTCTTCCGGTCGGTCTTGTGGTGCAGTCGGTCGTGTGGTGCAGTCGGTTGTGTTGTGCAGTCGGTCGTGTTGTGCAGTCGGTCGTGTGGTGCAGTAGGTCGTGTTGTACAGTCGGTCGTGTGGTGCCGTCGGTCGTGTTGTACAGTCGGTCGTGTGGTGCAGTCGGTCGTGTGGTGCCGTCGGTCGTGTGGTGCAGTCGGTCGTGTGGTGCCGTCGGTCGTGTGGTGCAGTCGGTCGTGTGGTGCCGTCGGTCGTGTGGTGCAGTCGGTCGTGTGGTGCAGTCGGTCGTGTGGTGCAGTCGGTCGTGTGGTGCCGTCGGTCGTGTGGTGCAGTCGGTCGTGTTGTGCAGTCGGTCGTGTGGTGCAGTCGGTCGTGTGGTGCCGTCGGTCGTGTTGTGCAGTAGGTCGTGTTGTACAGTCGGTCGTGTGGTGCAGTCGGTCGTGTGGTGCCGTCGGTCGTGTGGTGCAGTCGGTCGTGTGGTGCCGTCGGTCGTGTGGTGCAGTCGGTCGTGTGGTGCCGTCGGTCGTGTGGTGCAGTCGGTCGTGTGGTGCAGTCGGTCGTGTGGTGCAGTCGGTCGTGTGGTGCCGTCGGTCGTGTGGTGCAGTCGGTCGTGTGGTGCAGTCGGTCGTGTGGTGCAGTCGGTCGTTAAGCCGGTCCGAGGCGTAATAGCAACTCTTAATTCCTAATCTCCATCTCCCTTTACTGTCCTCATCTCCATCTCCCTTTACTGTCCTCATCTCCATCTCCCTTTACTGTCCTCATCTCCAGCTCCCTTTACTGTCCTCATCTCCAGCTCCCTTTACTGTCCTCATCTCCAGCTCCCTTTACTGTCCTCATCTCCATCTCCCTTTACTGTCCTCATCTCCAGCTCCCTTTACTGTCCTCATTTCCATCTCCCTTTACTGTCCTCATCTCCAGCTCCCTTTAATGTCCTCATCTCCATCTCCCTTTACTGTCCTCATCTCCATCTCCCTTTACTGTCCTCATCTCCATCTCCCTTTACTGTCCTCATCTCCAGCTCCCTTTACTGTCCTCATCTCCATCTCCCTTTACTGTCCTCATCTCCAGCTCCCTTTACTGTCCTCATCTCCAGCTCCCTTTACTGTCCTCATCTCCAGCTCCCTTTACTGTCCTCATCTCCAGCTCCCTTTACAACAGAGAGAGAGAGCGAAAGAGAGGAGAGGGGGATGGAGAGGAGAGAGAGAGAGAGAGAGAGAGGAGAGAGAAGAGAGAGAGAAGAGAGAGAGACGAGAGAGAGAGAGAGATAGAGAGGGAGAGACGAGAGAGAGAGAGAGCGGAGAGCAGAGAGGAGAGAGAGAAGCAGAGAGAGAGAAGAGGAGAGAGGAGAGAGGAGAGAGAGAGAGAGAGAGAGGAGGCTGATCATCAGGAGAGAGAGAGAGAGTGCATGTTATAGAGCGGGATGTGAGAGACAGGGTTAGAGTGCTGGGAGTGAAGCAGTGTGTAGTAGAGACGGGTGGGGAACAGTGTGTAAGAGCTGGGTGTGAAGACAGTGTGTTATAGAGCGGGAGTTGAACAAGTGTTATATGAGCTGGGGTGAACAGTGTGTTATAGAGCTGGGTGTTGAACAGTGTGTTATAGAGCTGGGTGTTGAACAGTGTGTTATAGAGCTGGGTGTTGAACAGTTGTGTTATAGAGCTGGGTGTTGAACAGTGTGTTATAGAGCTGGGTGTTGAACAGTGTGTTATAGAGCTGGGTGTTGAACAGTGTGTTATAGAGCTGGGTGTTGAACAGTGTGTTATAGAGCTGGGTGTTGAACAGTGTGTTATAGAGCTGGGTGTTGAACAGTGTGTTATAGAGCTGGGTGTTGAACAGTGTGTTATAGAGCTGGGTGTTGAACAGTTGTGTTATAGAGCTGGGTGTTGAACAGTGTGTTATAGAGCTGGGTGTTGAACAGTGTGTTATAGAGCTGGGTGTTGAACAGTGTGTTATAGAGCTGGGTGTTGAACAGTGTGTTATAGAGCTGGGGTGTTGAACAGTGTGTATAGAGCTGGGTGTTGAACAGTGTGTTATAGAGCTGGGTGTTGAACAGTGTGTTATAGAGCTGGGTGTTGAACAGTGTGTTATAGAGCTGGGTGTTGAACAGTGTGTTATAGAGCTGGGTGTTGAACAGTGTGTTATAGAGCTGGGTGTTGAACAGTGTGTTATAGAGCTGGGTGTTGAACAGTGTGTTATAGAGCTGGGTGTTGAACAGTGTGTTATAGAGCTGGGTGTTGAACAGTGTGTTATAGAGCTGGGTGTTTGAACAGTGTAGCCTGGGTGTTGAACACGTGTGTTATAGAGCTGGGGTTGTTGAACAGTGTGTTATAGTGCTGGGTGTTGACATGTGTTATAGAGCTGGGTGTTGAACAGTGTGTTATAGAGCTGGGTGTTGAACAGTGTGTTATAGAGCTGGGTGTTGAACAGTGTGTTATAGAGCTGGGTGTTGAACAGTGTGTTAGAGAGCTGGGTGTTGAACAGTGTGTTATAAAGCTGGGTGTTGAACAGTGTGTTATAGAGCTGGGTGTTGAACAGTGTGTTATATAGCTGGGTGTTGAACAGTGTGTTATAGTGCTGGGTGTTGAACAGTGTGTTATAGAGCTGGGTGTTGAACAGTGTGTTATAGAGCTGGGTGTTGAACAGTGTGTTATAGCGCTGGGTGTTGAACAGTGTGTTATAGAGCTGGGTGTTGAACAGTGTGTCATAGTGCTGGGTGTTGAACAGTGTGTTATAGAGCTGGGTGTTGAACAGTGTGTTATAGAGCTGGGTGTTGAACAGTGTGTTATAGTGCTGGGTGTTGAACAGTGTGTTATAGAGCTGGGTGTTGAACAGTGTGTTATAGAGCTGGGTGTTGAACAGTGTGTTATAGAGCTGGGGTGTTGAACAGTGTGTTATAGAGCTGGGTGTTGAACAGTGTGTTATAGAGCTGGGTGTTGAACAGTGTGTTATAGAGCTGGGTGTTGAACAGTGTGTTAGAGAGCTGGGTGTTGAACAGTGTGTTATAGAGCTGGGTGTTGAACAGTGTGTTATAGAGCTGGGTGTTGAACAGTGTGTTATAGAGCTGGGTGTTGAACAGTGTGTTAGAGAGCTGGGTGTTGAACAGTGTGTTATAGAGCTGGGTGTTGAACAGTGTGTTATAGAGCTGGGTGTTGAACAGTGTGTTATAGTGCTGGGTGTTGAACAGTGTGTTATAGTGCTGGGTGTTGAACAGTGTGTTATAGAGCTGGGTGTTGAACAGTGTGTTATAGAGCTGGGTGTTGAACAGTGTGTTATAGAGCTGGGTGTTGAACAGTGTGTTATAGAGCTGGGTGTTGAACAGTGTGTTATCGAGCTGGAAGGGATATTGCAGAAGCAGTAAAAAGGACATTGATTCTAATTACTGAGCCACTCAGCCAAGTACGGTGACGTGTCCGTCCAAACGCCCCCACCTGCAGCCAACACACACACACACTGGCACTCACACACACACACTGGCACACACCACACACACACACACACACACACACACACACACACACACACACACACACACCACACACTGGCACTCACACACACACACACACTGGCACTCACACACACATACTGGCACGCACACACACACACACACACACACACACACACACACTGGCATTCACCAGACACACACACACAGACACACATACACACACACACACACACACACATACACACACACACACACACACACATACACACACACACACACACACACACACACACACACACACACATACACATACACACACACACACACTGAAACACACACACCTCGCTGCAGACCCAGTGTGTTAGGTGACTGTGGCCCCACGCGGGGGGTGTTACGTAACACTATATCCAGATGACATGTGGGCATCGACATTACCGTCCAGTAATGACACCTCCACCAGAAGGACCAGTTATCCCTGGACATGTAGTCTGGGTGTTATCCATGGACTCATGTAGTCTGGGTGTTATCCATGGACTCATGTAGTCTGGGTGTTAGCCATGGACATATAGTCTGGGTGTTATCCATGGACATGTAGTCTGGGTGTTATCCATGGACTCATGTAGTCTGGGTGTTATCCATGGACATATAGTCTGGGTGTTATCCATGGACATGTAGTCTGGGTGTTATCCATGAACCTATATAGTCTGGGTGTTATCCATGGACATGTAGTCTGGGTGTAATCCATGGACTCATGAGTCATGGGTGTTATCCAGGACTCAGTAGTCTGGGTGTTAACCATGGAACTCTGTAGTCGGGTGTTACCAGGACATAATCTGGGTTTATCCATGGACCATGTAGTCTGGGGTCTATCCATGGACATGGAGCACTGGGTTTATCCAGAATCATATAGTCTGGGGTTCCATGGACATGAGCCTGGGTTATCCCTGGACATGTATCGGGTGTTATCCATGGACATGTAGTCTGGGTGTTATCCATGGACTCATGTATCTGGGTTATCCATGACCGTGTATCTGGTGTTATCCATGGACCATGTAGTCGGGTGTTATCCAACGACTATTAGTCTGGGGTTATCCATGGACTATTAGTCGTGTTATCCACTGGACAGTAGCCGGGTATCCATGGATCAGTAGTCTGGGTGTTATCACATGGACTCATGTAGTCTGGGTGTTATCCATGGACATGTAGTCTGGGTGTTATCATGACATATATCTGGGTGTATCCGTGGATCATGTAGTGGGTGTTATCCCATGGGCATGTAGCTGGGTGTTATCGGACTCATGCCGTCTGGGTGTTATCATGGACTATGTAGCCTGGGTATCCATGGACTCAGATAGTCTGGAGTTTTATCCATGGACATGTAGTCTGGGTGTTATCCATGGACTCATGTAGCTGGTGTTATCCATGGACTCATGTAGTCTGGGTGTTTACCATGGACTATGCCGTCTGGGTGTTATCCATGGACTCATGTAGCCTGGGTGTTATCCATGGATCATGTAGTCTGGGTGTTATCATGGACTCAGTAGCTAGGTGTTATCCATGGACATGTAGTCTGGGTGTTATCCATGGACATGTAGTCTGGGTGTTATCCATGGACCATGTAGCCTGGGTGTTATCCATGGACTCATGTAGTCTGGGTGTTATCCATGGACTCATGTAGCCTGGGTGTTATCCATGGACTCATATAGTCTGGGTGTTATCCATGGACTCATGTAGCCTGGGTGTTATCCATGGACTCATGTAGCCTAGGTGTTATCCATGGACTCATGTAGTCTGGGTGTTATCCATGGACTCATGTTGTCTGGGTGTTATCCATGGACTCATGTAGCCTAGGTGTTATCCATGGACTCATGTAGCCTGGGTGTTATCCATGGACATGTAGTCTGGGTGTTATCCATGGACATGTAGTCTGGGTGTTATCCATGGACTCATGTAGTCTGGGTGTTATCCATGGACTCGTGTAGTCTGGGTGTTATCCATGGACTCATGTAGTCTGGGTGTTATCCATGGACTCATGTAGTCTGGGTGTTATCCATGGACATGTAGCCTGGGTGTTATCCATGGACTCATGTAGTCTGGGTGTTATCCATGGACTCATGCCGTCTGGGTGTTATCCATGGACTCATGTAGCCTGGGTGTTATCAATGGACTCATGTAGTCTGGGTGTTATCCATGGACTCATGTAGTCTGGGTGTTATCCATGGACTCATGTAGTCTGGGTGTTATCCATGGACATGTAGCCTGGGTGTTATCCATGGACTCATGTTGTCTGGGTGTTATCCATGGACTCATGTAGTCCTGGGTGTTATCCATGGACTCATGTAGTCTGGGTGTTATCCATGGACTCATGTAGTCTGGGTGTTATCCATGGACTCATGTAGCCTGGGTGTTATCCATGGACATGTAGTCCTGGGTGTTATCCATGGACTCATGTAGTCTGGGTGTTATCCATGGACTCATGTAGCCTGGGTGTTATCCATGGACTCATGTAGTCTGGGTGTTATCCATGGACTCAGGTAGCCTAGGTGTTATCCATGGACTCATGTAGCCTGGGTGTTATCCATGGACATGTAGTCTGGGTGTTATCCATGGACTCATGTAGTCTGGGTGTTATCCATGGACTCATGTAGCCTAGGTGTTATCCATGGACTCATGTAGCCTGGGTGTTATCCATGGACTAGTTGACCGTTTCTGGGTGTTATCCATGGACATGTAGCCTGGGTGTTATCCATGGACTCATGTAGTCTGGGTGTTATCCATGGACTCATGTAGCCTGGGTGTTATCCATGGACATGTAGTCTGGGTGTTATCCATGGACTCATGTAGCCTGGGTGTTATCCATGGACTCATGTAGCCTGGATGTTATCCATGGACATGTAGCCTGGGAGCCAGTCTGTTTCTGCTCTCTTGCCAACTCCTTATGGAATTGTCATGTTTGTTGTGACAAGGACTTGACAAAATAGTACAAACATATCTGGGACCAGGCTAGCACTCATGACAAATGTCAATATCCTTCTATTAATTCTGTATAAAATAAATGATCTGACATCTATCAGCACTGCATTAGACGGCCTGCTTCTCCTTCACACGTCTCTTCAAACCAGATCTTGTATTATATCATTTGTATACTACAAAGGGATCAAATTGACCGGACACATGCCTCCTCAGCCCCCCCTGTCTCCAACTGGGCATGAGGCCTCTGGGAAGTGCTATTTCTAAGCTTCAGTTTCAGCCATCACCTTCCTGAATGCATTGTGATTGTATTACAGTCAGATACGCTCCATCGATTGGCGCCCTGCTCTTAAAGAGGTCTGTCATGGGCATTGTGATTAGGTTATTGGTTATTCCGTTTTTTCTGCCACTTTCCTCCTAACCTGATAATGTGTCCCGTCCTCTCTGTGTCCTGTCCTCTCTGTGTCCTGTCCTCTCTGTGTCCCGTCCTCTCTGTGTCCCGTCCTCTCTGTGTCCTGTCCTCTCTGTGTCCTGTCCTCTCTGTGTCCTGTCCTCTCTGTGTCCTGTCCTCTCTGTGTCCTGTCCTCTCTGTGACCTGTCCTCTCTGTGTCCTGTCCTCTCTGTGTCCTCTGTCCTCTCTGTGTCCTGTCCTCTCTGTGTCCTGTCCTCTCTGTGTCCTGTCCTCTCTGTGTCCTGTCCTCTCTGTGTCCTGTCCTCTCTGTGTCCTGTCCTCTCTGTGTCCTGTCCTCTCTGTGTCCTGTCCTCTCTGTGACCTGTCCTCTCTGTGTCCTGTCCTCTCTTTGTCCTGTCCTCTCTGTGTCCTGTCCTCTCTGTGTCCTGTCCTCTCTGTGTCCTGTCCTCTCTGTGTCCTGTCCTCTCTGTGTCCTGTCCTCTCTGTGTCTTGTCCTCTCTGTGTCCTGTCCTCTCTGTGTCCTGTCCTCTCTGTGTCCTGTCCTCTCTGTGTCCTGTCCTCTCTGTGTCCTGTCCTCTCTGTGTCCTGTCCTCTCTGTGTCCTGTCCTCTCTGTGTCCTGTCCTCTCTGTGTCCTGTCCTCTCTGTGTCCTGTCCTCTATTGCTGAGCTTCTTTAGTAAGAGAGGAGCTTACATTTCTTGACGACTTCCCTACAGTATCTAAGCTGTTGTCAGTTGTCTGTCTTGGCAAGACGGCACTAACTGACCTGGAACCAAGCTAACAGTACCTCTCTGTTTGTCTCCCATCCTCTGTACTGAGAGAAACTCCTCTCTGTCCCTCATCCTCTGTACTGAGAGAAACTCCTCTCTGTCTCCCATCCTCTGTACTGAGAGAAACTCCTCTCTGTCTCTCTGTCTCCCAACCTCTGTACTGAGAGAAACTCCTCTCTGTCCCTCATCCTCTGTACTGAGAGAAACTCCTCTCTGTCCCTCATCCTCTGTACTGAGAGAAACTCCTCTCTGTCCCTCATCCTCTGTACTGAGAGAAACTCCTCTCTGTCTCCCATCCTCTGTACTGAGAGAAACTCCTCTCTGTCTCTCTGTCTCCCAACCTCTGTACTGAGAGAAACTCCTCTCTGTCCCTCATCCTCTGTACTGAGAGAAACTCCTCTCTGTCCCTCATCCTCTGTACTGAGAGAAACTCCTCTCTGTCTCTCTGTCTCCCAACCTCTGTACTGAGAGAAACTCCTCTCTGTCCCTCATCCTCTGTACTGAGAGAAACTCCTCTCTGTCTCCCATCCTCTGTACTGAGATAAACTCCTCTCTGTCTCCCAACCTCTGTACTGAGAGAAACTCCTCTCTGTCCACCATCCTCTGTACTGAGAGAAACTCCTCTCTGTCTCTCTGTCTCCCAACCTCTGTACTGAGAGAAACTCCTCTCTGTCCCCCATCCTCTGTACAGAGAGAAACTCCTCTCTGTCCACCATCCTCTGTACTGAGAGAAACTCCTCTCTGTCCACCATCCTCTGTACTGAGAGAAACTCCTCTCTGTCCACCATCCTCTGTACTGAGAGAAACTCCTCTCTGTCCCTCATCCTCTGTACTGAGAGAAACTCCTCTCTGTCTCTCTGTCCCCCATCCTCTGTTACTGTAGCTAACTACTGTAGCCTTCAGACGGGTGACTGATTCAACTCTCACCTTTTAATTTAGTGCTTTCATTACAGTGTCCCGGAACTCTCCGTACCTGTGCATGCAGGCTGCGTCTGCCCGGGGGGGAACATGCAGTCCGAGAGGCCTGTCAGAGTAGTGAGTTATAGACCCACCCTGACCTCTCTTCCTCCGTTTGGACCTTAGCCAAACAGAGACCAGCACAGAGCAGACATGGCTTTACATACTATTTAAAATCTTTCCAATATGTTTAGCGTTGGTTTTTAGCCAGTATGAAGTTCCAGGTGGGCTGGGTTAGGACTATTGCGGGCTATTCTATTGGTTCCTTTGTGCCAGGCAAGCTCAATGAAGCCCAGGTAATGTATTAGAAATGATAGTTTTTGAATAGTATTTGAACCCCCTGGTCTGGCACAGAGAAGCAGAGAGAGGTGCATTCAGGGCCAGTTGTGACAAAATTGAATTAAGGGGGGGGGGGGGGGTTGTGCCTGAAGGCCCTTGTAATATCACTGTGGCTAGGGTGTCTGTCAGCCCTCTCTCTCAGCCTGGCCAGGAACTGCTGGGGGAGAAAATCAGACTTCAATACCACAGACTATTTAAAACCTTCATCTCCATTTAGTTTTTCCCCTCTCCGCCACTGGCTCCACTTCATTGTGATTTTGTCTCGTCATTTGGCCGGCGCCTGGCTGGCATGGGCACATGTTTTACAGTGTGTGTGTGTGTGTGTGTGTGTGTGTGTATGTGTGTGTGTGTGTGTGTGTGTGTGTGTGTGTGTGTGTGTGTGTGTGTGTGTGTGTGTGTGTGTGTGTGCGTGCGTGCGTGCGTGCGTGCGTGCGTGCGTGCGTGCGTGCGTGCGTGCGTGCGTGTGTGTCAGGGTCTTGTGTAAGCCCATGTCCTGTTTGATGGGCTGATGTTGTTGTGGAGTTGAGCTTTTATCCGTCTCAGCATAGTGGAGGAACCAGTGAAGAAACACAGCAGAGAGGTTGGAGGATATACAGCCGTCTCAGCATAGTGGAGGAACCAGTGAAGAAACACAGCAGACAGGTCAGAGGATAATACAGTATGTCTTCATCCCAAATAGCACCCCATAGAGTTCTACAATATGAGTCATAATACCCATAAAACCTGGCGGTCAAACAGGGAAATGGTTCCAATCATTTTTCCACCACTCATTTTTCCCATAGGGGATTTTAGAAACATTTAAAATAAGGGCTGTTTTTCATGTAAGCTTACCCTGGTGTGACGTTTTGATAACCATGTAAATCTCTCTAGGACAAGGTGACTTTTATCAATATATTCGCCTGTATTTACCCCCCCATAAATGAAATGCTAATTAGCTGCTAATGTGGCTATCATAAAGAACTACAAATGCCATGATGATCTGGACGAGACTGCCGAATTGAGGCAAAGGTAAGAATCTCTGGATTAACTATCTAATGTTAGCTAAATGTAGTAATGAATCAATAGGCTACGTTTCTTTAAATTCTGTGAACCGTCTTGTGCAAGTTTTAAATTGACCCAATACCTGTTAGCAAAGGTGTCAGCTAGAGATGACGTGCAGGACCTTGCAGGGATTTGTAGTCTTGCATGATGTCTACTTTGATGCTAATTAGCATTTTCTAATCTGAGAGTAAATACAGGCTAAAATATATTGATAAAAGTCTCCTTGTCCAAGAGAGATTTACATGGTTATCAAAACGTCACGCCAGGGTAAGACTACACAAAACACAGCCCTTATTTGAAGTGTTTCTAAAAAATCCCCTATGGTGAAACATGAATGGTGGAAAAACGATTGGAACCATTTCCCTGTTTGACAGCTAGGTTTTATGGGTATTATGACACCTCCACTGTGGGGCTCTATACCCTATATAGGGAGCAGGGTGCCAGTCAGAGCCGATGTCTATGGGAGGACCAGTGTTTTAAACACAAGGCTATAGATTCACCTCTGTTGTTACTGGTGCTGTTAGATCACTACCACATATAATACAGGTAACCCCTTTCTGGTGACATATACCCCAACCCCTGGAGTGGTGTTGAACACTTGTCTCTGTCCAGTATTTCCACCCATTTAATAGGGGCCTGTTCCATGTTTTGCTGACGGAGCATTTTAAACAGTCCAATTGTATCTGAGTCACTGCTCTCAGAGAGAGAGAGAGAGAGAGAGAAGCAGATGGGCTCAAATGGATCAGGTCCTTCATGAAACTATGATCTCTGTTATCCAGATGGCCAGATCCAGAACCCCCCGACTGTATCCCAAATAACACCATATTCCCTTTGTCTGTATCCCAAATAACACCCTATTCCTTTTATAGTGCACTACTTTTTTTCACAAGACATACCCTGTAGGTCCTGGTCGACAGTAGTGCACTATATAGGGAATAGGGTGTTATTTGGGACGCCCCATTCAGCAGCAGCTCCTTCTCCCCGGCCTGCTCTAAGTGCTGAGATGGGAAACACGTTAAACAGTTGGTGTGGAGCTGAGATAACGTCCAGTCCTTTCTGCTTGACATTTAGCTCTGGGCCAGCCAGCACCGTTAGCTGTAGTCCACTTAACCATGTCTACAACCATCAACTCACAATTACACCTGACCTAATGCCCAGGTGCCGGACGAAATTTGTCATGGGTTGAAATCTGGGTTTCTGATTAACCAAATAACAGTGGGTGAAATCTGGCATGCAATGTCATAAGTACATCATTTTTTGGATTGAAATCTGCTTTTCTGCTGGTTGTGACATTATTTTTTATAACCAAATGACAATCATTTAAATACATGTTTTTCATGACAGCATCAAAACATCTGGCAATAATGTCATGTTGCATGGTCGTTATGAGTATGGTAGTTTAATCAAATTCACGTGGTGTAACTATTCCAATGGGCAAAATGAAACAGAGGGGTTCCATAAAGAGGAAGTAGTATTATACAGTACAGAGGGGTTCCATAAAGAGGAAGTAGTATTATACAGTACAGAGGGGTTCCATAAAGAGGAAGTAGTATTATACAGTACAGAGAGGTTCCATAAAGAGGAAGTAGTATTATACAGTACAGAGGGGTTCCATAAAGAGGAAGTAGTATTATACAGTACAGAGGGGTTCCATAAAGAGGAAGTAGTATTATACAGTACAGAGGGGTTCCATAAAGAGGAAGTAGTATTATACAGTACAGAGAGGTTCCATAAAGAGGAAGTAGTATTATACAGTACAGAGGTTCCATAAAGAGGAAGTAGTATTATACAGTACAGAGGGGTTCCATAAAGAGGAAGTAGTATTATACAGTACAGAGGGGTTCCATAAAGAGGAAGTAGTATTATACAGTACAGAGAGGTTCCATAAAGAGGAAGTAGTATTATACAGTACAGAGAGGTTCCATAAAGAGGAAGTAGTATTATACAGTACAGAGGGGTTCCATAAAGAGGAAGTAGTATTATACAGTACAGAGAGGTTCCATAAAGAGGAAGTAGTATTATACAGTACAGAGAGGTTCCATAAAGAGGAAGTAGTATTATACAGTACAGAGGGGTTCCATAAAGAGGAAGTAGTATTATACAGTACAGAGGGGTTCCATAAAGAGGAAGTAGTATTATACAGTACAGAGAGGTTCCATAAAGAGGAAGTAGTATTATACAGTACAGAGAGGTTCCATAAAGAGGAAGTAGTATTATACAGTACAGAGGGGTTCCATAAAGAGGAAGTAGTATTATACAGTACAGAGAGGTTCCATAAAGAGGAAGTAGTATTATACAGTACAGAGGGGTTCCATAAAGAGGAAGTAGTATTAAACAGTACAGAGGGGTTCCATAAAGAGGAAGTAGTATTATACAGTACAGAGAGGTTCCATAAAGAGGAAGTAGTATTATACAGTACAGAGGGTTCCATAAAGAGGAAGTAGTATTATACAGTACAGAGGGGTTCCATAAAGAGGAAGTAGTATTATACAGTACAGAGGGGTTCCATAAAGAGGAAGTAGTATTATACAGTACAGAGAGGTTCCATAAAGAGGAAGTAGTATTATACAGTACAGAGGGGTTCCATAAAGAGGAAGTAGTATTATACAGTACAGAGGGGTTCCATAAAGAGGAAGTAGTATTATACAGTACAGAGGGGTTCCATAAAGAGGAAGTAGTATTATACAGTACAGAGAGGTTCCATAAAGAGGAAGTAGTATTATACAGTACAGAGGGGTTCCATAAAGAGGAAGTAGTATTATACAGTACAGAGGGGTTCCATAAAGAGGAAGTAGTATTATACAGTACAGAGGGTTTCCGTAAAGAGGAAGTAGTATTATACAGTACATAGAGGTTCCATAAAGAGGAAGTAGTATTATACAGTACAGAGAGGTTCCATAAAGAGGAAGTAGTATTATACAGTACAGAGGGGTTCCATAAAGAGGAAGTAGTATTATACAGTACATAGAGGTTCCATAAAGAGGAAGTAGTATTATACAGTACAGAGAGGTTCCATAAGAGGAAGTAGTATTATACAGTACAGAGGGGTTCCATAAAGAGGAAGTAGTATTATACAGTACAGAGGGGTTCCATAAAGAGGAAGTAGTATTATACAGTACAGAGGGGTTCCATAAAGAGGAAGTAGTATTATACAGTACAGAGGGGTTCCATAAAGAGGAAGTAGTATTATACAGTACAGAGAGGTTCCATAAAGAGGAAGTAGTATTATACAGTACAGAGGGGTTCCATAAAGAGGAAGTAGTATTATACAGTACAGAGAGGTTCCATAAAGAGGAAGTAGTATTATACAGTACAGAGAGGTTCCATAAAGAGGAAGTAGTATTATACAGTACAGAGAGGTTCCATAAAGAGGAAGTAGTATTATACAGTACAGAGGGGTTCCATAAAGAGGAAGTAGTATTATACAGTACAGAGAGGTTCCATAAAGAGGAAGTAGTATTATACAGTACAGAGAGGTTCCATAAAGAGGAAGTAGTATTATACAGTACAGAGAGGTTCCATAAAGAGGAAGTAGTATTA